TCTCTCAGCTTAAGGTATGCTACAAGTGTTCTTTGGTTTTCTAACTCGTTTATTTGCCATTTCATTATAGTACTTTCCTTTGTTTTCTTGAGCTTCTGTTTGAAAATGTTCTGTTTCGCTCTTTAATCATTTCTTCCCATCTCCTATGATTACAAGCAAGTGTCAGAGTCTCTTGTGACATCCATTTGGCCTTTTCATTCTTTCCTGTCTTTTTAATGACCTTTTGCTTTCTGCATGAAGGATATTTTTGATGTTATCCCACAGGTCTTGTATCATTGGTGTTCAATGCATCAAATTTATTCTTGAGATGTTCTTGAAATTCAGGTGGGATACACTTGAGGTAGCTTTTTGGTTCTTGTGGACTTGTTTTAATTTCTCCAGCTTCATCCTAAACTTTTGTTGTTAGGTGCTATCAAGTCAGCTCTAACCCACAGTGACCCAATGCACACCAGAAAGAAAGACTGCCCAGTCCCGTGCCATGCTCACAGTTGTTTCTATACCTAAGTCCATGGATGCAGCCTCTGTGTCAATGCACCAGACACTTATTCAATGCCCAACCTTCACATGCATATGAGGCGATGGAGGCTACCATGACTTGTATCTTAATCCTCAGAGTAACATCCTTGCTTTTAAATGCCCAAAGATGTCTTGTCTTGCAGATTTACCCAATTCAAATTGTCTTTTCATCTCTTGACTGCTGTTTTCATGAGCAGCATGGATTGTGGATCCAAGCAAGACAAAATGCTTCACAACTTTAAACTTTCCTCCATTTATCCTGAGGTCACCTAATGGTCCAGTTGTGAAGATTTTGGTCTTCCTTTCCTTAAGTTGTAATCCACATGGAAGGCTCAATCCTTGATCTTCATCATCAAGTGCTTCAATTCCTCCTCACTTTTAGCATGCAAGGTTGTGTCATCTGCACATTACAGGTGTTAATAATAAAATGAGATCAGAGTGACAGGAATCTCCAAAACTAAATTCTCACTGCTATTGAGTCAATGTTGACTCAAAGTGACCCCATAGCACAGGGTAGAACTGCCCCTGAGTTTCCAAGATTGTAACTCTTTACAGGAGTAGAAAGTCCTGTTTATCTCCTGTGGAGTGGCTGGTGGTTTTGAACTGCTGACCTTGAGGATTGCGGCCCAACCTGTCACCACTACACCACCAGGACTCCTCACAGGAATACAGTTCAGAATTATAATACATCACATAAGGGATTATGGCTTGGAAGGGCCATATTAATTGACAATATCTCACCAAACACTTAAGGATATTTTGAAATGGCCATAATTCTAAATACTGAAAACATGAATAGAGATCTGTGTGAAGCAAACTTATGCATGTATTTTCCTACAGTTTTCAGGGTCTCTCAATGTGTATTTTCTAAATTATTGAGAGGAATAGCAAAACTTGAAATTAGGTTTATTTAAGAAGTAACAGAAATTCAAATATAAAATGCACCTCACATCCTTGTTCTAACTTACTAAGCTTATTCCCGCTTGTAGTGTTTCTTATTTTATTAAATTCGGGAGCTCTTATTATACTTCATTCCTATACTCTCCCTTGGGCTTTTCTGCCTATCACACGCAATAATACCTATGTGGCTATATGTATGGCTACAGGTGAAGATATAAACACATACACTCACACATGAATTTTAATTTGGTTGAGATAAAAAA